CCATCCATCCATCCATCCATCCATCCATCCATCCATCTATCTTTCTATCTATCTACCCACCCACCTACCTATTTATATAAACTATCTTCCTTTCTTCTTTCTTTCCTGCTTTATTTCTTTTCTATCTTCTTTCATTTCTCTTTTTCATCCTCCCTCTCTCTCTCATCCTTTCTTCCTGTTTTAGATTTTGAGATACAGTGGCCAAGGGTGGCCTTAGTCTAGCTATGTAATCTAAGGGGGCCTCAAACTTGTGATCTTCCTTTCTCTGCTTTCCAAGTGCTGGGATGGCCACATCTCTCTTTGTTTTTTTAAAATAAAGATACACAGTTTGTGATGTTCTGCATTTAGCAGTAGAAAGATTAATATATGTATAAATGAATATATAAAGATATCTTTCCAAATATGATAAGGAAATTTCAAACTAAAACCACAATAAAATATTACCACACACTGAACAGACTGTCCAACATTTAAGTCTGATGTAACTGGAAACAGGCATATCATCACTTGAAATAGCTTGACATTGCACAATAACCTTAAAAACAGAGAGTCTCCATGAGACAAGATGCAAATATGTGTGCACCTAAGCTCAAGGGCAATCCATAAGGGCTAATGAAAGACTTCTCCAAATATTTCAGTTGGTACCCATATTTGAACTCTAGTAATGTCATCAGTGGGAGCCACTTTCTAACACTCATGAGCAAATAACAAATACAAACTTTGTAAATGAGAAAATACTGAAAATAATCATACAAATTAGCAAAGTCTCTAAGTGTTTGCTGATCAGAGAAAATGATAGATGAATAATCTAATAGCCTTTCAGAGTGAGGCTGTCTAAATGTGGTGGTTCAAAAGAAAATGGCCCCCATAGGCCCACAGGGAGTGGCACTATTAGGAAGTGTGGCCCTTTTGGAGTATGTGTGACCTTGTTGGAGGAAGTGTGTCACTAAGGGTGGGCTTTGAGGTTTCAGATGCTCAAGCCAGGCCTAGTGTCTCTCTCTTCCTGCAGATCCAGATATAGAACTCTCAGCTACTTCTCCAACACCATGCCTGCCTGTGTGCCACATTGCTTCTAGTCATGATGATAATGGAGTAAACCTCTGAACTGTAAGCCAGCCCCAGTTAATTGTCTTCCTTTATAAGAGTGGTCATGGTGTCTCTTCATAACAATAGCACCCTAAGACACTAATCAAATGCTATGTCCCTGCTCATAGGATGGGATCCTAATTAGGATGAGTCATTGTCCTCATGTGTCAATTCAACTAAGATCAACAACCCTCTAATCTGCTGCCAAGGGTCCCAAATTTAAGCTAGGAGTTGTTGCCCCAGGTATTGTGAGTGATGTGAACAGACAGTCCTCAGATGTCCATTCCTTTAGAGGTGGCTCAGTTGCAGCAAGCCTTCTTGTTAAGGGTATAACTTTCCTAGGGCATCCAACATTCACTAGTGGATTGGTGAGAGTCTCATCTTTCTCCAAGCTCAGGAAATGCATGATAGGTCTAGCTAGCTCCAGAGCTTTCCTCTGGGTTCAGGCAAAACTGACTTAGGGCCCACATAACAAGTCAACTGGATTTTCTGCTCTACCCTGCCCTCAACCTCTTCATATGCATTGCTAGCAAGCTAACAACCTAATAAAGTCTGCAGGCTAAATGACACTGCAGAGCCTGCTGCTTCCAAAAATCAACCTGCAATGTCAGCTTTTAATCTTGCTGCCTAGGCTATCAGGCTTTAATGCAATAAAAAGCCAGGCATTGACACGCTTGTAATTCCAGTACTCAGGAGCCTAAGTCAGGAAGATTGTGAGTTCAAGACCATCCTTCTGCTCTTTTTTTTTTTTTTGCCTTCACATGGTCTTTTCTCTGTGTGCACTCTATGTTGCCCATTCTTTTCCTTCTTTCCCTCCTTCTATCCTTCCCTCCCTTCCTTCTTTGAGATGGGGTCTCATTATGTAATTCTGGATGGCCTGAAATATTCTATGTAGATCAGGTTGGCCTCGAACACACAGAGATCTACCTGCCTCTGCTATCCTTTCTTCTTCTTAAAAAGGACATTACCCAAGCCAGGTGTGGTGGTACATTCCTTTAATCCCAGCACTCAGGAGGTAGAGGCAGGCAGATCTCTGTGAGTTTGAGGCCAGCCTGGTCTACAGAATAAATTCCAGGACCGATAGTGCTAGAGAAATCTTGTCTTGAAAAATACCTAACTAGATAAATAAAAAAATTAAAATTAAAAAGGACACTACCCATATTGGATGAAGGACCCACTCTTATTTTTTTTTTTTAGGATGAGGTGTTGAACTTTATTTATTTTTTATTGCAGTCACATTTTCTTTATTTTTTAAAATTTATTTTACATACCAACCATAGTTCCCCCTCCCTTCCCTCCTTCTGCTCCCCCCACCTCCCCCAACACCCCCATCCACTCCTCAGAAAGGGTAAGACCTCCCATGGGGAATCAACAAGGCCTGGCACATTCAGTTGAGACAGGAACAAGTACTCCCACCCCCGCACCCCTTGCATCAAGGGTCAGCAAGGCAACCCACCATATGGAATAGGCTTCAAAAAGCCAGTTCATGCACCAGGGATAGGTCTTGGTCCCACTGACAGGGGTTCCGCAAACAGGCTAGGCTACAAAACTGTCACTCACATGCAGAGGTCCTAGTTTGGTCCCATGCAGGCCCCCCAACTGTCGGTCTAGTGTCTGTGTGCTCCCACAAGTTCGGGTCATCTGTCTCTATGGATTTCCTCATCATGATCATGATCCCCCTTGCTCCTATCCCTCTTCCCTCTCTTTGATAGGACTCCCCATAGCTTAGCCTGGTGCTTAGATGTGGGTCTCTGCATCTGCTTCCATCAGCTAATGGATGAAGGTTCAATGATTAGAGTTAGGGTAGTCACCAATCTAATTACAGGGGAAGGCCAGTTCAAGCACCCTCTTCACTATTTCTAGGGGTCTTAGCTGGTGTCATCTTTGTGGATTCCTGGGAGTTTCCCTTGCATCAGGTATTGCCCTAGTCCTGTAATGGGTCCCACTCCATCCCTCCCCCAACAACCTTCGACCATCCCATTCCCTCATGTTCTCATGCCCCATCCCCTCCCCTTTACCACCCCCAACCCCCTGTTTACCAAGAAGATCTCATCTCTTGCCCCTTCCCAGAGTGATCCATGCATCCCTCTTAGGGACCCACTCTTACAATCTCTTAACTTTTGAAGGTCCTATCTCTAGGACTGGGGATAAATCTCAGTTGACAGAAGGCCTCCCTAGCATGTATGAAACCCTGGTTCAATCCTCAGCATTTTATAAACTGAGTGTGATTTCCTACACCTGTAATCTCAGCACACTCTGGAGCTGGAGGCAAGAGGATCAAAAGTTTAAGGTTATTCTCAGCTACATAGCAATTTTTAGGGGAGCCTGGGCTATATGAGACACTCTTTAAAAAGAAATTCCCCGCCCCCACCTTTAGGACAGTAGGGGATATAAACTATGAATAAGTCAGGCAGTGGTAGTGCACAACTTCAATCTCAGCATTTGGGAGGCAAAGGAAAGTGGATCTCTGACTTTGAGGCCAGCCTGGTCTACAGAGCCAGTTATAGCACAGCCAGGGCCACACAGAGAAACCGTGTATCAAACAAACAAACAAAAACAAAACAAAACAAAACTATGAACAAGGGCTGGAGAAATGGTTTAGTGGCTAAGCAAATGTACTACTCTTGCAGGGTCAGGTGGCTCATAATAACTTTCTATAATCTGAGCTCCAGAAGGACCTAACTAATGCCTTTGTCCTCTAAGGGCACCTGCACTCATGTGCACACTTGGGCACATTCCCTCTCGTGAACACACACACACACACACACACACACACACACACACACACACGAAAAAATAAATAGTAATTAAAAATAATAAAAATAAGTTGTAAAAGACTATAAACACCCAGTAGAAACTTGTAACCTTCCCGAGGGCAGCAATAAACAGTTGAATCCTGTTTGTGCAGGTTGCCACTGTGTGTCAGACCCCCTCATTGTGAGGGCAAACTATGGAGACCTTGCAGTGATATACAGTACTGTAGAAATTACATGAGATATTCTACATTTTATTTAAAAAATGTATGAAATTAATTTTTCAACTTATACTTTCAATTTACAATGGGTTTATCTGGACATAATCCCGTCTAAGTGAGGTCTGCAACTGTATGCAATGCTTCCAAGGTGTTTTTGTTTTTTATTTTTGACAGGGTTTCTCTATGTAGCCCTGGCTGTCCTGGATCTCACTCTGTAGACCAGGCTGGCCTCGAACTCACAGAGATCTGTCTGGCTCTGCCTCCTGAGTGCATGCGCCACCAGCCTTCTTCTAAGAGTTTTAATGTGATGATGACGACAATGAAGATGATGAAGAAACTCAAATTATTTTAAAGTCTCCCATGTCTTACCTGATACTGGGGAGTTCTTGGTTGAAGTCTTGCTAGTTGGGATGAATTTGGAGTGAGTCTAGGAGAGAAAGGATTGACCTTGAGATAGGTTCCACTCTTCAACCCCACCTCTTCCTTCCCCAACTCCCAGGCCCTAAAGCTGGAAATGCTTGAAGGGATGTTATATTTTTACTCCTGAGGTTAAAGGCTGGAAAAATTGTTTTTTGTTTTTGATATTTTGAGACAGGTTCTAATGTAGCTCAAGCTAGCCTCAAAGTCGATATGTAGCCAAGGTTGGTCTTGTACTTCTGATTCGCTTGCTTTAGCCTCTCAAGTACTGGAATCACAAGTGTGTATCACCGTGCTCCCTGATTGTCGTTTTAAAAGCAGGTCTCCCATCACGATCCCGGTTTGCTTTAAACACTCAACCCGCCTGCCTCATTCTCCCTTGTCCGTTTGTAAATTTTGGGGGAACAGGGCCAGAAGTTTACCTTCAAATACTGCCTAGAAACCAAAGTTTTGAGTTAAGTATGGTGCCACACACCTATAATCCCTGAATTTAGGGAAATGATGCAGGAGGATTATGACTTCAAGGCCAGACTAAGCTAGCATAGGCAATTCCAGGCCAATCTAAACTACAAAGTGAAACCCTGTCTCCAAAAAAAGAAGGGAGGGAGGGAGGAAGGAAGGAAGGGAGGGAGGGAGGGAGGGAGGGAGGAAGGTAGGTTCTAGGGCTGGAGAGATACTCAGAGGTTAAAAGTAAGTACGGTTCTTATATAGAACCGAAGTTCCATTCCCAGCACTCCAGTGAATCCAAGGCCTTCAGCCCTCTGTGGGCATTCACATACACATGATCAGAAATAAAATTAAAATCTTTAAAAATGTTTTAAAACAAGTTAAACCATATCTAAGTGAATTCAAATTTAAAAACATATACCCTCCTCCTTCTCCCAAAGCATTTAGAGCCTATCACTGAGTTCCAGCAGCAGTTGCTCATGACGTCACAGTGCAGTGGGCCTGCGCTGGGAGATAAATTCAATTTCAGAAAAGAAAACTCTAAAGAAACAATTCATTCCATAATAATTCTAAGAAATTAATATGTTTAGGATTATGTCTGGAACCATTTTTTTGCCATGCATATTTGGCAGCACTGGGGATTGAGCCTCAAGCCTTGCAATATGACAAATAATGCACTACTACTACCCTAGCCCTATATCCATTTTAATTGGTATATATTTTACATACATCAAAATGTATATCTATTTTCAGTATAGGGTTTAATAAGTTTTGAAAAAACCCATACAGAACATCCCAATTGTCTCCAAAAATTCCTTTATGCCTGTCTTAGTCTAAAAAGAGGTTAATTTGAGCTTATGGTTCTGAAGGATAGGAAGTCTAAGAGAATTGTACCTGAATCTGCTTGGCTTCTGATAAGGGCTTCATAGTGGAAGTTAGAAGAAAAGAGGGTGTGTAGAAAAGAGAACAGTGGAGGCTGGAGAGACAGCTCACCTGTTCAGAGTTCTTGCTGCTCTTCCAGTTTGGCTCCCAGTTTGCTCCCAGCACCTATATCAGGTGGCTCACCTGGAATTCCAGTTCCAGGGGATTCAATGCCATCTTCTAACCTCTGCAGGCACCTGCACACATGTGGCACAAAGAGAGAGAGAGAGAGAGAGAGAGAGAGAGAGAGAGAGAGAGAGAGAGAGAGAGAGAAGGAGGAGGAGGAGGAGGAGGAGGAGGAGGAGGAGGAGGAGGAGGAGGAGGAGGAAGGGGTAAAAGAAATAAAATCGTTTTAGGGGCTGGAAAGATGGCTCAGTGGTTAAGGACACTGATTGCTCTCCCAAAGGATCTGGGTTCAAATCCCAGCACCCACATGGCAGCTAACAATTGTCTGTAACTCAAAGATCTGACCTGCAGGTAAAAACCCTCTTGTGGCCTCCCTAGGCGCCTGTACTTGCATGCACATATATACAGCAACACACACATGCAATTAAAAGAAAATACTATCCTCCCGTGCACATACATACAGCAACATACACATACAATTAAAAGAAAATACTATTACTTTTTTAAAAAAGAAATAAAATCCTTTTAAAAAGAAGAGAGGACAAAGAGGATCAGGCACTTTATAGAATTAATTATGGGGCCTGGGGAAATGACTCAGTAAAATACTTGCTGTATAGTCATGAGGACCTGAGGGTAAAAGCTAGGTGTAGTAGTGCATGTCTGTGATCCCAGTGCTGAGAAGATAGAAATAGGCAGAACCCTGAAGCTCACTGGTCAGGCAGTCTAGCGAAAAAGGTGAGCTCCAGGTTCAGTGAGAGACCCTGTCTAAAAAATAAAGTGAATATGGGTTGAGAAAGACACCCCAGGCCAATCTCTTGGCTTCTACACATACATGCACAAGAACTTGCACGCACATGTGCTCATATCCATACAGACATGTATATAAACATCCAATATTATCCTTTATATGTGTGAGTGAGTTTATGAGTGCTCAGCTGTACATATATGTGCATGTATATGAAAACAAGATGTTAACATTTGGTATCCTTCAGGTACCATCCACTGTTTATTATTATTTTGTGTATGCCTGATGGGGAGTAGTGCACAAGTGCTATGGTATGTATGTAGAAGTCAGAAGACACCTTTGTGGAGTCAGTTTTTCCTTCCACCTTTTTGTAGTTCCAGATATCAAACTCAGGGTTTTTTGTTTTTTTTGTTTTTTTTTTTTTTTTTTTTTTTTTTTTTTTTTTTTTTTTTTTTTGGTTTTTTGAGATAGGGTTTTTCTGTGTAGCTTTGGAGCCTGTCCTGGAACTCACTCTGTAGACCAGGGTGGCCTTGAACTCACAGAGATCCGCCTGCCTCTGCCTCCCAAGTGCTGGGATTAAAGGCGTGCGCCGCAGCCACTGCTGCCACCCAGCACAAGCACCGTTTTTGTTTGTTTGTTTGCTTGTTTGGTTGGTTTGGTTTGGTTTTGGTTTTCCAAGACAGGGTTTCTCTGAGTAACAGTCTTGGCTGCCCCAGAACTCACTTTGTAGACCAAGTTGGCCTCAAATTCACAGAGATCTGCCTGCCTCTACCTCCTGAGTCCTGGAATTAAAAAGGCTTGCACCAACACACCCATTCCACCCATTCCAACACAAGCACCTTTAACCACTGAACCATCTTTGCTAGACTTTACCTTGTTTGTTGAGACAGAGCCTTTTCATTGGCCTGGAGCTCACTGGTTCTGCTAGACCTGTTGGCAGTTAGTCCTGGGAATTTTGCTGTCTCTTTTTCTCACTGGGATTACAAACACAGATCACCATGATCAATTTATTTTTATTTGGGAAGTATCTTAGTAGTTCATTCATGCTTGTGAAGCACTCACTTTGCCAACTTGAGCCATCTCCCCAGCATCCAATAACTCCTTTTCAAGAGCAAGAACTAATCCACTGCTGCAAGAACTAATCCAATCTTGCAAGAAAGACATCACTCCCCCTGAAAGGTCTCACCTATCAGCATCCCTGCATCCGCAACCAAATTCCACCCTGAATTTTGACAAGGACAGGCCACACCCACACCATAGTAACAGCCTCTCTATTCTTCCCCAAGATGACTTGATTTCTTTCACTGTAGACTAGTTTTGCCTGGCTTAGAATTCCATGGAATACTATAGTATTTCTCTTTTGTGTCTAGCTTCTTTCCCTTAACTTTAGGTCCAAGAGATTCATCTATGCTGTTTTATAGTTCTTTGTGATTACTGAGTGTCATTGTATTATGTGATCATTGTCATAGTTCTTGGTCATTTTTTTTTGTTGGATACCTAGGCTGTTTCTAGTTTTTCTGTTTTATTTTTTATTTTTGGTAATATGAATAAAGCTAATCTGAACATTTACACACAAGTTTTACTGTGGATATGTAGCATGCTGTGGTTGGGTCACCACAGCCAATTTGGGGCTACTCTTAACTCTGGTTCAGTGATGTCATATTGGTAGTTTGAAATAGTCACTGTAGGAATCTTTATACCACAACTGGCAAATGCTACAAATTACAGCTGTTTTCTTCCTACAAAGCTGGTTGTTAACATTCACCAGCATATCATTCGGGTATATGTTTTCATTTTTCTAGAGTAAATACTTAGAAATGATGTTGCTGGGCTACATAACTGATTTTTAATTTTCAAATTATTTCTTGTCATGTTTTTGCAGGGAATTAAAAGAAAGAAGTATGCCGGGCGGTGGTGGCGCACGCCTTTAATCCCAGCACTCGGGAGGCAGAGGCAGGCGGATCTCTGTGAGTTCGAGGCCAGCCTGGGCTACC